ATTCCCATGCTCAAAGATTACAACAATGCAAATTATCAAAATGTCCATGTTACTGAGAGCATTCACAGACCCCACCAAAATGCCAGGGACATTCTAAAAGAACTAGAGAAAGAACTAGAGAAACAATGCTGAATTTCATATGGAAACAAAAAAGGCCTCAATAAGCAAAGCAATCTTGAACAATAAACACAAAGCTGGAGGCATCACAAAACTATATCTGAAGACATTCTACAAGTCTATTGTAGCTAAAATAGAGCGATAGTGGCATAAAGACAGAACAACAGAACAGAAAAGAAGCTCCAAAAGTAAATGAATGCATCTATATCCAACTCATCTTTGGCAAAGATGTTAAAAACATTACCTATAGAAAACTCAGTCTATACAATAAAGGATTTTACAAAACTTGGATTTTAAGATTTTGTTTGAAGTACCCTTTATTATATCAAAAAAGTTAAGTATTTAAGGCATAACCTGAGACTTGTGCAAGCCTACACTGACATTCAAATGCTGAAAGATGACCAAAGAGAATAATTTAATGAGGAAAATGCAATTATTTTAGCAAATTAGACTAAATAACTGGATATTCACAAAAGGAAAAAAAATGAACCTTGACCCATACTTAAACCACTATCAATATTTAATTCAAGTTGGACATTTCGAGAGTAAAACATAGGACATTTGGGGTTAGCTATCAGAATAGAAAAATAACCAATACAGAACAATGGATAAATTTGCCTGTCAAATTTCACTGTCAAATAGATGAGGTGAAACATTCTCAACACAAATACTGAGAAAAAGACAAGTAGCCAGACTACATGTAAAACTGCAACTTGATTATAGTTATTAGGTTACTGCAAATTAAAACCAAAATGCAATACGGCCATCTACACTTTATAATATTGAAGTGGAGAAAACACTGACAGGATTGATGTTTCTAATGATGGGATTGCTCACTCGTTCCTTACATTTATACACAGGCAGACACCAAAACTAGTGTGGGGAGCAGTCTAAAGACAGGAACTGTCAACACTCACAGAAACCGTCAGCACTCACAGAAACCACTATTAACCTGCCCATTATATTCCTAACTTCTAAAAAGGTGGCCACAACAGCAGGTCTTCATAAACTTTATGAAAACACACATTATGGAAAAACTAGGCAAGAATTTCACATCTTTTTTTGGCAGTAAGAGAAGCATTTTAATTTCATATTCCAAGAACTTCCTAAAGTTCTCTTCCTGTTTCACCAGTTTACTGCCTAACAATGAAGCAAAACCTTTAGCAGACTCAAAGTATTACATTTTATCAATACGTGTTTTTATGTCTAAGAGGCTTCACACTTTTTTCTGTGTTCATACTACCACCATGAGCCAAGTGGAGGGACTAGGGTTACCAGACAGACAAAACAGACAACACACAGTGGATCATTCTTGTGAACAGAAGGCCCTTTACTCAAAGTCAAACTGCTCTTTTATAGTCTGCTTGGCCCCTCCCAGCATTTTCCCAAGGCTTAAGCAACACCTAAGCTCCCCTGAGGGGATGTAAAAAGGGGAAGCAGGAAGGTAGCAACTTGCAGTCAAGCCAGGGGCTAAATATATCAGGCCAAGATTGCCCAACCTATTACACCTTAAAAAACAAGCTAAACTGTGGAGTTAACCCTTGAGAGACCAGGGCCTACAGGCTACAGGAAAGTGGGTAAGACCACTGCTTCCACATTCTCTTTTTCTCCTTCCTATATCTGAGGAAAAGGGAAAGACAAAGGAAAAAGCCACACCTACCCTTCCAGTCATCCCAGGGTCCCCCAATGTGGGGCATGCTCCAAGGGCTTTGCTCAAGCGGTTTTGGTAGCTCAACAGTTTTGAATTGCTGCCAATCTCGCCATTCCAAGCACAATGAAATCTCTTCAGAATCCACTGGCTCACATAGTTCACCTTAGTGTCTCGACTTGCCCGGATTTTCACTGCCAACACTTGGCTGGGCTAGCTGATCAATTTGTTCTGTCCTCTGTTGTGGTATCAGGTGTCCTCTGCAGGTTCCCACGTACTATCATATCCTCCATGTGCACCTGGATGGATATGCTGTCCACTGCCCTGTCTGAGACACTGAGGAGCCTCAGCTTTGACACATGCACTCCACGGTCAGACCATGGAACCTGCACTTCTCCTCATGGTTGGGGTTCTGAGTCCAGCAGTTTGATAGGGGGGCATCCCCAAACAAAGTTTGTCTGAAGTGATCCCAGACCAGATTCTTGGTGTGCTTGCCAGTACACTGTCCGGTACAGTCCATCGTCCCTATCAGCCTATGCATATGCTAGTCATTGCAATTGTTGGGTCAGTTCTGCCTCCAGCACCATCTTCCACACAAACTAATGGGTGTTGCCGCCCAGCCTGATTCTGCCCACCACACACTTGGCCATGGAAACCAGTAGGAGCTGCAGCCTAGTTGGGGCAACTCCAAATAACCCTCACCAGGCCCACCTCCTGCCCTGGTTTCCAGGCTTGCCAGTACGTACAGCAGACTGGTCCAGTCTTTCCCACACCCCATTTAGCTCTCCTACTTGTCAATGGGCATCGAAGCCTAGTTCAACCCAACCAGCCCCACTATCCATCCCACATACTTGCTGACGGTGCCACTCTCTGTCTAGTCACGCCTGCCCAAGTCCTGGTTCTCATGCTCACCAGGCTTGCCCCATGTCAGAAATCGCCAACTCCTCAATTGCTTCCAGAATATGCTTCAGCCCCTCTGGCATGGCATTTAAAGTTTTCTCAATTTGATAACAAAACTGATGCCACTCCATTTTAAAGAAGTACTGCCTGCTAGCTGGAAGGCAACCTCTACAGAAGCAGACAAGAAGGGATTCAGGTTCATGGTTTAGGACAGAGAAATTCCCTCCATGATCTTGTAATGGAAACAGGCTAATCCAACAGTTATGGCCCTTAGTTGCTAGCATGACACAAAGGCCAAAAAAATGTTCAAAAACAGTATTTCCAGCAATATCGTTCAACTTGAGGGGAGAGGAGACTTTAACCCAGTCTCTTTGCAATCTCTCTCTCTTTTTTTAAGATTTATATATTTTTATTGGAAAGGCAGACATATAGAGTGGAGGAGAGACAGAGAGGAACATCTTCCATCCGATGATTCACTCCCCAAGTGCCCAGAACGGCTGGAGCTGAGCCAATCCGAAGCCAGGAGCCTCTTCCGGGTTCCCCATGCGGGTGCAAGGACCCAAAGATTTGAGCTGTCCTGGACTGCTTTCCTAGGCCACAAGCAGGGAGCTGGATGGGAAGTGGAGCCTCCAGGATGAGAAGTGCTGCCTGTATGGCATCCCGGTATGCTATCATGCCAGGCCCTCTTTGCAGTCTGCTAACAAAGAATGTGGGTCATGATCCTAATCCAGACAACCAGATGCTGACTTGTATTCATGTGACCAACCACAAGGATTCAGTTATTAAACCAGGAAGAAGTCTTCTACAGAACCACTCCTAAGCAGTAAGGGAGACAGACCCTGAAAAGGGGAAGAGTCAGGCAGTCCAGAAAGGCTGCTGAGCTCACCTGGAAAAGGGGGCACAGTTCCCATGGAAGGCTCAAAGAAAAGAGTTCACAACACAGTTGGGGGGAAAGGCATGGAACCCTACCTGGGCAGGTGTGGACTGAAGGAGCTGAGAACACAGCTGAGAGCCTTGCAAAGCCTGAGCAGGGCTGACCCATCTATGCTCAGCAGTGACAACTTCTACTGAATAGTACTTTTTATGCTAAGTCACACTTAGAGGGAATCATCAACTCACGTTGTCAGTTCCCAGAGAGCTGACACCTTTTCTCATTAACCTTGTCTTTTGCCAGTGTTCCAGAAGGCAATGCTTTGCATGTGAGTTCAGTGATTTTGCTAAACAAAACATCTGAAAGGATATGGAGGGTGGGAATACAGCAAGGAATCAAAGAACACATCACATCCATATAAACAATATAAACAAACATAATCAATCTCCACACACAGAGTATGCTGGAGGGGCTGGTCAAAGGAGGAGGGTATCTTAGTCAGATACTACATGAGGTGACCTGCCTTAATCCATTATGGAGAAACACAAAGATACAGCAACAATACGTATTAACTGAGATGCTACCTTTTCATGCTATGGACTAACAATCCAAAAGAGTAAACTTGCTAGGGTCACAGATTAGGAAGCCTTCAGGGTAAGCGCTTGTTCTACTTTGTAAAAGAAATTGCATCAAGTTTTAGAGTTGATTTTAACAGATTTCATCTCTATTCTAATGTCAAGAGTTGAAAGGGGCTTGTCTATCTAAGAAGATTTGGAAAAAAAAATCACATTTCCTTATCACATCCCTTTAAGGTAAAACAAACAAACAAAACACACACACACACTATTGCATTATTTTCACTTTAAAAGCAAGAAAAACTAGGACTCAGGAATCTCAGCAAAGGTACACTCAGCTCCAGTAAGAAAGCTGAAGGCATATGTACAAGGTCTCCCCATTTGGGCATGTATCTATGTGCACTCAGACACTTTGCATTCTCTAATGATGTGGTGTAGCATTCTGTCTACATCAAGTGGGTCAAGTTGCTTAGTTCAAATGTCTACATTGTTACCGATTTTCCCATCTGTTCTACTTACTGAGAAAAAGACACCTATATCTCTTCAATGGGGATTGTAGATGTGCTCAATTCTTCTTTTAGATCTGCCCTTTCATACAGTTTACGTCTTTGAATAAAAGCTCAATCTGCAAGGGTTGGAAATGTGTTCAAATCTCTTTTCCTGAAATCTCTAAAGTAAACCTGGAGAAACCCAATCTGGTCTCAGCAATGCCTGGCCCAGTCCCTTCCCATTTCACCACCTCTGGGGTGTGGTGGGATTGCCAACACTGGCCTAGAGGCCCTCACTGGACACTCCTTCCTGGGATGGGCCAAGTGCACAGGTGCATCTGGCAAAGCCAATGGCTCCTCCATCACGCTCCTCCCACTGCACTTCCCCCATGATTCCCCACCTGAGGGCAGCTCACCTTGTATGCCTGACAGCCCGAAGTCCTGCCGAGTGAGGAAAATGGCATGATCGTGGTACTTGTCGTAGTCTGTGTCTGGCTTCTGCTGCAGGCAAGCCCAGTGGCAGACATTCTCCAGGCTCTGGGAAGGGTTCCTGATCTCGATGAGGCTCAAGGACTGCAGGGAAAAGGGGGGTTCTGAGGAGAGGCTTGGCATGGTCCCTCCAACTGGGGTTGGAGAGACATGGCCCTCAGTGCCCTGGCTAGGCCAGCTCAAGATGGGACTCCCGCTGCTCTCCATTCTTTTGAATAAGGAGGGGTTTCCCAGCACCTTCACACTAACTCCCTGCTGGGTTCTCAGGGAAGACACTGAGGCCAAACTCCTAAGCTGTCTCACACAGTCCCTTCACCTTCCTCCAGGTGCAGGAGGGCCGCTGTATCAGACCCCTAGTCTGAGTGGTCCCTGGGCAGGATGTTGGTGCAGGGGACCGGAAGGCCCAGTCAGACCTGCAAGCCCAGAGGAAGGGAGCGAAGGCCTTGCCTTTCTCCCACTTGAAGGCACTTACCAGGCACAAAACAAACATGGTAAAGGGAACTACAAGAGACAGAACCATGGGCCATGTAAGGGACAGGGCCATAAGCCGCTGATCCCAAGGGACACAGGAACAAGAACGCCCTGAGATGGTCCCACCCTAGGTGGCTGAGGTCAGCCACAGAACTCCTCCCCAACCCCCAGGCCTGTGCACCTGCCATGCACAGTGGAGCACTGGCCCACACTCTCAGGGAGCAAAGGCTCAGAGAAGTCGCTTGTTCCAGGGTGTACAGACAGGGAGAAACTGAACTCAAAACTAGGATGCCAGAAACGCAACTCTCGTTCTGTCCACTGTCTAAAACACTCTCTCTAAATAAAGCATGTGGGCCTGCCATTGTAGCCTACCAGCTAAAGTCCTCACCTTGTACGCACTAGGATCCCACATGGGCACCAATTCGTGTCCCGGCAGCCCCACTTCCCATCCAGCTCCCTGCTTGTGACCTGGGAAAGCAGTCAAGGACAGCCCAGGCCCTTCAGATCCTACACCCACGTGGGAGGCCAGTAAGCACCTCTGGGCACCTGACTTTGTATCAGCTTAGCCCCGGCCATAGCGGCCCCTTGGGACGGTGAATCAGCAGATGAAAGATATTCCTCTCTGTCTCTTCTCCTTGTTGTATGTCTCACTTTACAAAAAAGGAAAGAAATCTTTAAATAAATGTATAAATAAAGCACGTGCCAAATTGTCTCGGCAAGGGGAGGAGCTGCATCTCTACCACAGGTATTTTGGTTTCTGCTCTTACCACCTGCAACCATCAGAGAGAGCGACGATTAGAACGGGAGCCCATATGGGATCCCGGGCATGCAAGGCCAGGATTTTAACCACTTGCGCCACTGCGCCGGGCCCTGGAAAGTGTTTTAACTCCATTGGCTCACTCATTTATTTTAAAGCCTGCTTTTATATCAGCACAAAACACAGCCCACCCTCCACACCTGCAGTTCATCATCCTCAGATTAAGCCAGGTGCTACCTGAAAATAGTTCCATCTGTACATGATGGGGGTGGGACAGGGGAGCGAGGCAGGTAAGTCACATCTTAAAATAGGCCCCAGAGCAAGGGAGGGCCAGGCCTGCCCTGTTTCTAATATCCCTCTGGCCTCTTGTGAGAACTGGCAGCATCCCATGGCAATCTACCAAATCCCTTCTGTGGGCCACCCCTGAGAACCCAGAAGGGCCATCACCACATTCTGAGACTCCCAACACCCAAACTCTTGGGCGACAACCACATCCAAACAGCAGCAGCATCCAGGACAAACTGGCAGTGCCTAGGTGAGAGGGAAATTCATTCCCGGATTCCTCACCCAAGTACCTGCATCCAGCCAAGCCTGAAGCCTGCCCAGCATGCCGCTGCTGCGGGACACAGGTCAGCATCCAGACTTACACACATGGCCATGAGCAGGACCCAGGGCTCCTCACCAGGTCAGGCAAGTGGGACTGTCCCATGCGGCCATCTGCTTCCCAACACAATGGACCAGGGAGACAGTGAGAGGTCACACATTCAAGACAAAACCACTGTCTGTGTAATCTAATCACACTTGGTCCAAGCCCAGGGGTGGGACTTGGCCAGGCCACAAGCTCCCAAAAGTAGGGTTACCAAGACTGCCTTAGAGACTGCCTGCTTCCGACAGGTCTCATTCAAGAAGTTCCTGGGACTGGCACGGGAGTACAGTGACTTGTAAATGCTGGCATCCTATAGTGGAGCTCAAGACCCAATAGCTCCACTTCTGATCCAGCTCCAGGCTAATTTGTGGAGCTAAACAGGGGAAGATGGCCTAAGTACTTGGGCCCCTGGCAATCACCCACATTGGAAATACAGATTTCTAATTGGTAATTCCAGGCCTGCATTTGGTTCGGTCCAGCTGTTTGCTCCAGCCTCACAGTGCAACAGGTACAGGTTCCAGAAACTCCTGCAGATACAACAATCTACATGTTCAAGTCCCTCATTAGAAATGTTGCTTTTGCTGCCAGTGTCATGGCAAAGTGGGTAAAATTACCTCCTGTGATGTGGGATCAATATGGAAGGCGGTAAACGTCCTAGCTGCTCCACTTATGATCTAGCTTCCTGCTAATGGCTCCAGGACAACCAATAGAGGATGGCCCAAGTGCCTAGGCTCTGGCACCCATGGGGGGGAGACCCAGAGAAAGCTCTTGGCTTCAGGCTAGCACAGAGGACACTTGGCTCTTGGAGACACCTGAAGGACGAACCAATGAAGAAAGAGTGCCCTCTTTCTCTCTGTTTAGAACTCTGGTTTTCAAGAGTTGCTTAGTGAACCCAAGCTGTGAGTGGTTCCAATGGAGCAGTGATGGGTGGCAGCATGAACTGAGGAGAAGGTGCAGGATGAGGGTGGGTGATTGGTAAGGATGGTGCTGGAGCCACAGCACCTAGGAGCCACTGTCATGGGGTCGTCTTTGCTATAGAGATCCCTAGATTTGCAAGAGGCTGGCAGCTTTGCTTTGGGCAGCTCTCCCAATGTGGGTCAGGTCTGGGGGAAGGCCAGTCTGGGCCAGTTCATAAAAACCACTAGGAGATGTGAGAACCAGGATGGGGTACAGGACAGGCTGAGTTGGGTTGCAACACAAGCCAGTACCCTATAGTGCCAGAACTGGGAGCAGGCCAGGTCAAGCCAGGCTACATGGCAGGCCACTCCAGGCTTAGCCACAGCACCCACCACCACATGTAAGACCTCGGGTAGTGGAGGAAAATCCCAGGAGGGGTACTGTAGGGGCTCCCCTGTTAGGCCAGTGTACCCACTGCTGAGCAGGAGAGCTAGGACATGGGGCTGACCAGACTTGGCAGGGTTACAACACTTGTTGGCCTGCATTGAGCTGGGTTAGCAGGAGTCAGACTGGGTCAACTGGCTATATCCACTGGGGCATGCATGAGCCAGAGTAAGTGCAGGCTGCTCAGGCTTTGCTGCAGCATCAGTTGGCATGCTGGGAATGGGAACAAATCCTGTGAGACTACATTACAGAACCACCTGGAAAGTGTAAGATCTGGGGTTGGAAGCAAGCCTAATTGGGACACTTGGATACCCCTCTATTGGGGTACAGCTCGCACCAGTGAACATAAGAACCAGGGCTGAGGTAGGCCTTGCTGGACAGGTGGTTGCACCCATCAGCATAAGTATGGGGGGATTAGTAGTACCAGTCAAGTGAACTAGGCTGCAGCTCGCACTCATGTGTACAGAAGTGAAATGGGATGCGGGATAGACTAGACAGTCTGCTGCACATGCTGGCAAGCACAGGAACTAGGTTTGGGGATGGGCCTGGTGCGGTTATTAGGGGTTGCTCTGACTAGGCTACAGTTCCCACTGATTTACATGAGGGCCAAGTGTGTGATGCACAGGGATGGGCTGGGCCACAGTATCCATTGATTTGTGTAAGAGATGGGCTGCAGACAGAACTGACCCAGAAACTGCAACCACCGGGGGCGGGGGCGGTGCTGAGGTGGGTGAGCAACTGAGCCAGACTCCACACTGGCTGACACACAAGACTCAGGTCTGGGCTTACCACAGATAAGGTTTCTTTGGGGACTTCCTCCCCATACTCCCAGACTGGAACACTGCACTCAAAACACCAAGCACAGGGAAAACCACAGCATCTGTGGTCTGACCATTGAATGCATGTGTTAGAACTGGGCCCCCACACTTGCTAATGGCAGTGCAGTGGATGACATGCCTAGAAGCACATGATACACATGACAGCTAACTGAAATCCTCAGAGGACGTCTGGTACCATGGCAGAGGATAGAAGACAGAATAAATTGGACAACTCTCCTGGCCAAACTTTCACAGCAAGTATCTGAGCCAACTGAGTCTCTAAGGTGAATTATTTCAGCCAGTGGACCTTGGAAGGATTTCCTCAACCTTGGAGCAATGAAGCCAACAACATATCAGAAGTGTCAAAATCACAAGCAGTACCCTTGGAACAAGCTCCACATCAGGGACCCTGGGATGACATCAAGCAGCCGTCTGCATCCCCAGGGAGCTGATGCAGTTGGGCTGCTGGAAGTGGCCCTCCTCCCTTCCTTCCCATTTGACCCAGGTACAGGAAGAAAACAAAACAAGAAAAAAAAGAAGAAAGAAAGTGTGAGAGAGAGACAATGAGAGAAAGAGAGACAGAGACAATGAAAGAAAGAAAGAAAAAAGGAAAGAAACAAACACTTGGAAAATATGGTCTCATACACTTTCCCCTGTTCCTTTGTCCACAGCACAATCAGCAGTCCACAGGTGTATACATCCTTCTCAACTATGTAAACAACAGCAAAATAAAATTAAAAGGAAAAGAACACACAGATCTAATGCATTGCTGTTGTTTCGAATGGATGAGTAAGGACTGGCAAGGATGTTGGAGGCTTTGGTAGGAGATGCATTCTCCAAAAGGTGGAAGATAATTAAGAAAGTAGTATACACCAAAGCAAAAAAATCCTACTTTCACTGTAAATATTTGAATTCTACTAGGAATGTTCAACAATATCTGAAAATAAAAAATTGAAATAAAACAGGACCAACTCATTACCAAGTAATTGTAACATTGAATGTAAATGGAATAAATTCTGAGAAACACAGATTACATGAATCAATTTAAAAATAATAATAAAACGACACAATAATATGCAAAAGGCTGCCGACAAGAAACAAAATTCGTCTGCAAAAATACAAAATATAAATGAAAGAATGCAAAACCATAATAAGCCTGGCATGGGAGCCTATTGGCTAAAGTCCTCGCCTTGAATGCAGCAGGATTCTATATGGATGCCACTTCATATCCTTGCTGCTCTACTTCCCATCCAGCTCCCTACAGTTGAAGATAGACAACTGTGGCCACTTGGGGAATGAGGCAACAGATGGAAGATCTTTGTCCCTTCTTCTCTTTGTAAACTTGACTTTCTAATAAAAGGTAAGAAAAAAAATTTTTTTTAATTTGCTCTTTTTATTGCAAAGTCAGATATACAGAGAAGAGAAGAGAAAGAGAAGATTTTCCATCCAATGATTCACTCCCCAGGTGATCACAACCACCAGTGCTGTGCAAATCCAAAGCCAGGAACCAAGAACTTTCTCCAGGTCTCTTATGAGGGTGCAGGGTCCCAATGCTCTGGGCTGTACTCTCAACTGTTTTCCCAGGCCACCAGCAGGAAGCTGGATGAGAAGTGGGGCTGCTGGGATCAGAACCAGTGCCAATATGGGATACCGGCATGTCCAAGGTAAGGACTTAACTGCCTCGCCACTTCCACTGGCCTAAAAATAAATAAATCTTTAAAAAAAAGCAAAAAAGATACTCCAGGTAAATAGAAATTGAAAATGAGCAGGGATTAACCATGTTTATCATAAACAAAGTAAACTTTAAGACAAAAATGGTTAATGAGACCATGATCCCACACAATGATAATGAAA